AAAGAGAAAAAAAAGTAGGGGGGGGGGGGGGGGGGGTAATAGGACATTAGTAAAGGTTAGGTGTGTCTCAGGGATTTTGGGCATAGACTGGGGGAGGGGGGGTACTTATGCATTTTCCCTTAAAATATCAATACTTTTCTCAATGCAAAATAATACATTTGGAGCCATTAATGTTCCCTGAAAACTCTTCTCAAATCACAACTTAATATACTTGGACTCACTTTAATTTTGAAATCAATACATGGAAATAGTTGCACTAATACTGAATGAATTTAGATGTAGGGCGTGAGGACGAACTTAGTCAATCACTATCAATAGCCTTATATACCTGGAAGATCAATGTTCTTGAACAAGCGTGAAAAAAGTGCTTGAAACCATAAATTTCTCCTCTTGAATTCTTATTTAAGTCTTGAGAATTATTATGAGAGTGTTAGGGTTGACTAAACTGGAAAAAAAGCTCAATTAGATGTAAAATAATCGAAATTCAGACTTATAAGGGGTGAGAAATTACTAGAATAACCCCACTTAAAAGCTAACAGAACAGTCTAAGAGAGCACATCTACGGTCCATACGGATTTTTACGGACAATATTGTTCAACCGTAGATCCCATTAGTGGAAGTCAAGTTTCTGAAGAATAACCACAATCACCATCTACGATTCGTAGACCACTTGACGGATGAAAATTTTGGGGCTCAGATTCTTGAACCACAACCCTGACTTACGGGACATAGAACCTTAAACGAACCGTACTGTTAGGTTGTAGGGCCCAATCTCTGCAACCTAACTTTCTGAAGACTAACCACGAACACACCATCCACGAGCCATAGACCATTGTACGACCCGTACTTAGCTTTCATAGAATCAAAGTATTAAATTTACCAACTTCTGAAGATCATAAGCATGAGCCTAACCACGGCTCGTATTTCTGACCATGGGCTGTACTTTTGATTCGTACAACTGAGTATGAGACTTAACATCTTCCAACTTTCAGGACTTTTATCCATGACCCGTATACTTTACCACAGATCTTAAAAAACCAACTTGTAAAATCTAAACCAATATCCTTCCAATGTAAGTGTCAACTATGAGATGTCTCCACAAGATGAAGATCCATCCACTGTATGTACTATTCCCTCGTGAAACACTACACCATCAAATTTTCTGCAACTTTCCAGCTCCCAACTAACCTTTACACCTTCGAGATGTTACAATAATAACTTAAAAATTCTTGGCTAGGCCAACCTAAGATGAAATCTAGGCTAGGTAAGGTCTAGGGTCATCCGAGAAGGGATATAGATCTTTTTTTGAGATTTGACTAATATATACTTGTAGCCAAGATATTAAGGAGTCCATAAGGTCTTTCGAAATTGAATTCAAGTAACCAGAACTCTCAGAATTAAACTTGGAGTTAAATGTATGTGTCGGGACGCCAAGGAAAGGAGTTGTGTTGTAAAAAAAGCCTTTTTTAGATGTTGAGCTACATATCCCTCATCGATCTCTCTATAGAGAATATGTCCCGCTACAGCGGCACTCAAACCACTATATTAGGGTAAGTTATCACTATATCAACACTTCTATAGAGAGATTATGACTGCTAAAGGGACAATATCAAGATTTTATATTAAAAATAGTCTAAAATTCCTATTTTCTGCACTTTGAGTTCTTGATACTAAAAGGGAAATTTTGGATTGTC